CCCCCGCCTGCCTCCTCCCTTCGCCGGTGCCGCGCTGGGGTGAGAGGAGCGGGGCTTGGTTTTGAGAACTTTTTCTATAAACGTTAAAAACAGAGTTTGGGTATTCACCACAAGATTAAATAAAGCGCTGGAGGAGAAACCAACGGTAAAAGGCTAGTATTTGATCACTAAAGATACAGTGCACCACCGCGTGACAGACCACACACCAAAAAGGGCTGAAGACACTTTAAGGATTTATTTACTACGAAACAGTACAGTAGAAAGCGTTTGGGAAACTTTTTATTCAATATTGGACTACTTGGTGTAAGCTTCTGAATAAAAGCACATTTTTACAGTTAATAGTGCTTATCCCTACCCTAGTCACTTGAGCAGTTAATTAAGTTGCTTGCACAATCCTCTATAAAATCAAACGATTCAAACAGACATTCACACATTTAAAAGCAGCACTGTCAGGTCAGCCCTGATGTATTTATACAGCCGTTCTCTGTTATTTCACCTGTTCTTTTTGCCTATCCCCAATATACAACTGCGGTATTATAATGGCAACTGATAGACTTTGCCGGTCTCCTGTGGTATTACTATGGCAACTTATCACCCTGCCTTCATCCTTCATTGCTCTTGAACCTCAAAGCCTCCTCAGACAGCTGGGAGAGCTCCTATGAAGACAGGGAACACAGGTCTTCGCATGCTATGAGGCTTCGCTTCCCAGAGGCTGCAAGCAGAGATTCAATATCCTGAATTACTTTAGAAGTTTTTTCCAAAGCCTCCAAGATGCACCCTTCACTGATTTCTTCCGGCTCACTCTCATTTTCTGTTTTTCTGACAGTAATACCAGATGGATTGTTTTTTGCAGCACATGTCCCTTCCAGAACACTGTTATTATCCAATAAAACTAGTGTTATTTTGTTAAGAAAAAATATCAAACTCTTCCTCCTAATGAGAAAAATACTTCTCCGTATTTGTATTCATCATTCTGCATTGCAAAGTCTCATACTTCATAGCATGCTAATTACATAAAGCTAAAAATTAAAAAAGTGTATTACTTAAAATGTCTACAACATTTACAGAAAATGTCTTTAACTAAGACTTCAATTTATCCAAAAGTTACTTTAAAAAGGAAGCTATCTGATGTTACACTGCACAGTTTAACAGCATGCACTTTTCATACTAATAAAATTGAACACTGGCTTAAAGACCATTATAGAGTGGCTGTAAGCACATGCAGCCCGGCACACTTTTTTGGGCTGGCTGAACACAATGGAACAATACTGAGGTAGTTGATAGACAGAAAGGTATTGTACTGCAACAACAAGCCCAAAGGCAACTGCGTCATCCCTCTTTCAAGAACAGATCAGCAGATGAGTGTTAGCAAAACTAATGCCATACCCATCAAAGGGCTTCCTTTTTTGGTCATTTTTTATTTTAGTTTTGTACTCTGCCACTGTTTTTGTTTCCAGTGCTGTGATGCAGAAATTGGACAGGATAAATGATAAAACAAAAATGATAAATAAGAAAACAAAAAATGGCTTAATAAGGAAATTTTAAGAAATGGGTAAGACAGTAAAAGAAGGTGACAACAGGACAGAGAGCCTTTGATGATCTAAAATGCAGACTTGAATATGCAGATGAACAACAGAATATAAAAGTGAAATCTTTACAGCTTTCAAAAGGATACAGTTAAATCTCTGTATTTTTTCGAGCTCAGCATCAGCAGACCTATGCAAGAAAATAAAGATTATTAAATGATTTAGTATCATACAAGGTTCTCAAATGTATTTTCTACTTCAGATTTTAATTTTTAATAGTTTCCAGCAATACTGAAAATTAGACGAGCAAAATCCAAGTGAAAAAAACACTTTATTTTTGTGTTTCATACCACTGTCCAATGGCTGCCATTTGTCAGTCATTTCTGTTTCCAAAAATCAGGGCTCTGCTCTAAAAATAGTCTCTTTGCTGTATGTATGTATAAATATAGATATAATTTTCATTTCATCAGCTACTGAATCTGCTATAATTTGAATAACAAGTTCAAGTGTAATCGATTTCAATTAACTCATTTTTAATACCCGGATATCTTTGCATATGTCATCAGCAGACCTTTGGTCAGTAGCATGTATTAAAAAGAACAAATATATTAGCAAGAGATACAAGTGTCATTCAGCAGTTCAAAGTACTATTTTGAACTGCTTGGTGTTCTGTTAAAAGACGCCTTTCTTAGTCTAGTTTCTCTTTTTCACCTTGCAAGATACTATCTCCGTAACATTAATCCTCCTTTGGCAAAGTCACCATAATTCTGATTTTTAAGTAAGGCAGGCAGAAGCGCAATGAAACAAGCTTCACCTAGGACTCAACTTACCTAACATTTTAAACACTGAAAGAAAAATATGAAACCACACAAAATAAATGGACGTACAATTTTCATTTTTGACCCTTTGGAAATGCAGTCTATAAAATTCACAGCTTACAGTCTTTTTGAGTTTTATTTTCAACGTTATTTGTAGTCAATTATTTAGGATAAAGATGAATACCAATTTTCTTCAGTTACAGAGTGTGCAGTATATTCAGGAATCTCCTTCCTTTCATTCAAACTTTGGCACCATTCTATTGCTGTTCTGATGTACCTATGTTAACATGAAAATTCACAGAAAAGTAGTTATTTATATGAGAAATACATTCCATTAATTCAAGCAAAAAACTGAAGGCATTAAGCAATACACCTGGATCTGAAAGAAAAAGCCATGGTTCAAAATCTAGCTTTTTCACTGGGTTTCCTTGCCGTTTTTTGATTCCCACTTTTTGTTTAGTCTCCTTCATATCTAAATCTATGCAGTTATAGAAAATTGTAACAAAGCTGTATGATTTGTAATGAATAGTGTACAAATGTTAATTTTTGTTTGTGAATATCTATGTGCTAAAATGCAGCACAGTAAGCTTCTGATGATTCCCATAATGAGGCTGTAATTAGAGCAAGCAGATTAGAGAAAGCAATCTGCAGGCAGAGGTCAATATCTGTAATAAAGCAAAAATTGGATAAAGTGCTATCCAGTTCTATGTACCAGCTTTATGAAGGACAAGGATTTTTTTTTTCTTATCCACTGATGCAAGTGCCAAGTTGCAGCTCTAGTTTTTTTTTTTTGAAAGACATTACTGTAATAATTATAATGGAATGATAGCATGCAGTGGTCCTGAGTCATACAGGTCCTGAATCTTTGTCAGATGTAAGATGGAGCTTTTATCGTTATGTGTTTGCCCCCCCCCAATATATTTTCAGTAAATACCATTTCTTCATATAAAAGGATTTGTACAGAATTCTTCTATATTTAACTTTAAATTGTTTAAATTACTTATACCTTTCATAGATTCCAGGATGACTTATTTGTATTAGCTGCTGTACCCCATCAGGAGTAGTTAACTTACACCACCCTACACCTTCATTTACCTTAGAAGAAAAAAAATGTATAAGTATTAATTTTCTGCTGCAGTCTGAAAAAAAAAAAAGCAAGTATAATACGCCAATTTAAGAATTAAGTATCTATCAACACTCCATTTTAAACACTTAAACACTTAAAAGTTTTGCTAAGGATAGAATTTGGTATAGCCTGCTATGACAAATGCAGGGGAAAAAAAAAGAACACCTGGCATGGCCCCAACGCTCATTTTGTGCTATTCAAGAATAGATTATTTCTAAAAGTGTGTAGAAATGTTTCCAAACCTGTAGAGTTTTCAGTTCTTCCTCCTTTTATCATGAGTGAGTATATAGATGTGAGCTAGCTCACATCAGTAAGTTATACTGTGTCTTTTGATACAGTGACTATCATATTTATATAGTTTATAGTAGAGTTATCCTCAGACACTTTAACATCTTTTTTGTGTCTTGTCACCTTAGGGTAATAAGCAAAGACACAGAAGCCGAAAGTCTCAGCCGTCAACCTTAAATCTCACACTTACATAATTTTCCCTGTAGTGCCATTTTGCAAAAATCAACATAATCTTTTTACTTCTATATTAAGTAGACTTAAAAATGTATATGGAATACCACATGCGCAAGATTACTTTTCCGAGTAGCTTTTCACTATCCATTTGCTCAATTATAGATGATCTGAAATAAAAAATACTCCCTTTGATCAATGGGAGTGACTTCTTAAAAGGATATGGTTTCATTTTCCTCTTTAGGCATCAGTTATGCACTAAAACATTTTTCATCCTCATTTCTGGTTAAAATACTGGCAATACATTAATGGTGGCATTTGCGGATAGTTCCTACTTTGATTTAGACTACTGTACAAGCTCAAGACTAAGCCACAGCAGCAAACTGCTGTGAGTTACGAATCTCTGAAAAAACTTCAGTTTGTATTTCATAGGCATCAAAACTTTTGTTTCACTTCCTCATTAGTTTCCTAGTAACACTTTTTCATGGTGAGTTTTAAGAATAGTCATTCCTCTAACTCATGAGCTACCTGGATCTTACTACAGGAAGAGCTGAAATCCCAGACCATATTCAAGGTCATCCCATCCCAAAAAGCAGCATGGACTTTATGATCCGAGTACACAACGAGTCTTCCTATGCTGGGAATAACCTTTTCATACAGCGAAACTGGCAACATTTCTCGTCCATCTGTCTCAGGTACCTAGAACCAAACAAATACATTAAAAACTTGAGGAAAGGTTACTTACATCGTTACAGCTGTTTCTATCTCTCCCAGATTTTCAATTCACTTTTTTTTCCAGACCACAAACAGCTCTCTTTATCATGCAATTGCTTTCTGCTTCATAAATGTACCTTCACACTGCATGCTTTTGGTTCCCAAATACACACCTTCTGATCTTTGAGGATACACTCACCATTCTTCCCTCCAGATTTGATCCTATTCCCTATAGCCTGTACCATCATCCTTGTTACACTGAAAGATTTATAAATCTTCAGCTACATACCATTTTCCAGCAGCAAAGATAATAGTTATGAGTTAACGATAGTTTAGTCTTGTAGCAGTACTGAAGTATTCTGAGGAGAAAAAAACAAACAAAATATTAAGCATTTCATACTTACTATGTCTTCTAAAGAGTTGCAACCTTTGTTCTGTAAGTTTATAATGTCCTCAGTGCTAACAGAAATTCCTTTAATTTTTATACTTAATATCATAATAAGTATTATGTGTAATTTTAACTACTGTCCTTTCAAAGTCAAAGGAGGAATTAAGGTAACAAAGATAAAGTACAGTAAAGTTACTTGGTGGCCTGAGTAATAATGGAGGATATAGAGTATGGATTTCCTGGTACGTCAGGAGGTAGGCTGTTCACCGAATACATCTTTTCTTCTCTCTGCAGTAAAGAACAGAAAGGAGATGAGCTAGTTATAGGTACTGAAGCATGAAAACACTATTAAAAGCTTGCAAGATATGAAATTTCTGACATCCCAGAAAGCAACTCCAATCATATTTACATTTGTCCCAGAACACAGATAAATATCTCCTGGCAAGGTAAAAAAATGCAGCTGTATCCTTCAAGCCTGTGGGAAGAAACATTCACAGTTTCCATGCACTCAGTATGGACCAAGAAGTTCTCTTATCAGAGAGTAGACTGTAGTTCATTACTGAGTAACTATGTTTGACTTCAAGTTAAAGGCTAGGTTTGAAGGGTACAAAGATGACCCTTAATTCTGCTTTAAAAATACAAAGCACTGCATAAGCACTTGAGACGATTTCTACTCTGGGGAAACTTAACAATAGACAGCCACAGAGAGGCAAAACCATTTCTCCAGCACTGAACAGCTGGTCTGTGGCAAAGTCAGAACAGAACCTGCATGTTCGAGGTTCTGTCTTCATATAGTAAAAAAGAAAACACTTCCAAGTACATAAAGATTAAACTCTAATCAATATATTAAAGACTAAACTTCTCTTCTAAATTAGTGAGAAATGGTTATTGTAGACTCTTACTGCAGTACATACTTGAGCTTGTGAAATAAATGTTACAATGAATAAGATTTTTCTTATTGTGTCTATAATTTACAAAAATACATTCTGAAACAGAAGAATAATCTCATTTTTTGTATGACTGATTGCTTGATTCAGTCATTTATAGTAATTACCAACGTAGGGACTTCACTATAGACCGCATAACCAAATGTCTTAAAACTACGAAAACTGCTAACTTGAAGGAATTCGGAACTTATTTTAAAATAGTTTTATACCTTTTTTGTTCCTTTTTGGATTGCATAATGTACGAAATAGTTTCCCAAAAATGCTCCCTCTGACTTGAAAAATGAGTTGTCACCAGGATAAATTTCTGTGATGTTTGTCCTACCATGGATAAATCTAAGAGAAATAACACGATTTTTAACAAGTATTTAAAATGCTGTATCACTAGACAAGCAAAACAGTTTAGTACACTTTAAGAAAGCACTAAGCAGAAACACATTTTCAACACAACTCTCACATGAAAAACTTTCTACAGTTTCACGAACAGCAGCGTGTACCAATTATTTCTTTTAACACAGAAGATTAGCGTTACCAGGCTCTTTGTTTGCATGTGTGCATGGGGGATGGGAGCTAAACAAGCTAAGGAAAGGTTGTGTTGAGGTAAATATCCCACAAGAGCTGCTCATTCCACTGACCATAAAATACAGTGATTCTGAAGAGAAAAATCCAATTTTCTTAGTGGACCAGCCCTACCTAGTGTACACGGAGAACTGCCAGACTGAACAATTCCTGAACAACCTGAAGGTCTTCATTTCCACTGCAGCTGTGTGACTTTCATTAAGATCAATGGTCTTTTACTTGCAATCATACGGTATCTTGGAGCCTAAAACCCATTTAACGACCCAATTCTGCAACTCTGTGGTTAGACACCTGGACTTTGGTAATGGGACTTTTAAGACTAAGTATGGCTACTCACCATACTTCCAAAGAAATGAGGTATAGTACTGAAGAGCTGCTAAACTTCTTGTTCAGGTGAGATGAAAACTTAGGAATTACACTGAGAAAAATGAAGAACACTGGGCAGAAAGATTAAAGCTTTAAAGACCAATTACGCTTTTATCAAAGACTTCTGGATGCTGATAGCAACTGCAGCATTTTCAAAGTTTGTATAACAGATTTGAAAGGGCAATTTAAAAAAAAAAAAACACTCCCTTTTTTTTTTTTTTAAACCCATATGGACAAGGTGATTTGCCAGGAAAATCCAGAGTTTAGCTGCCTGCAACATGCGAATTATGCAGGTCACCAAGACAAACATTTCTAAAGCGTGAAGTCTTCAGCATCAAAAGGAGCAATGTAATTTGCAAAGAAACCAAGCACCATAATCGTCAGTGAGGTCTGTGGGAGCTCCAGCTGTCGAGTAAACCTTTAAGAAATCAGATAATCAGATCACTTCTTTAAAAGCCTTAAACATGATTTCAGATTGTTTGTTTCAGACATACCCCCTTTCAGACCTGGAAATATACTGTACTGGAAAATTTGAAGCCCAATGAACAAGCAGCAGAAATGAACAGACTCTTACATGAAGATTGCGTACAATTTCTCCGAGTGAGAAAGGGACAAAGTAAGACATTTCATCTTAAAGCTTAATTCCCATAAAAATGAAGTCTTCCAAAGATGAAACGCATGATCTCGTACATACCTATAAAAAACACCGTGGCACCATAAAATTTGAATTAGCTGAGGGCATGAATACTTTTCAGTATCTTGATTCTGAAAGAAGTCACAGAAAGTCCACCTGTATAAAATATAATAAAAGCTTCAGTAAGTCCAAAGGTTGGGGTTTTTTTGTGTGTGCTGGTAATCATTCCTGTACCAAGAACAGATGCATGCACACGTATTCAAAGGAAAAGAGGCCACGTGTTTGAGGAGTCCTCTGATTCCTTAGTTATCCACATTAGTGACCAAGTTTTCTCAAACCTGCAAAGGTTTTTTTGATTATTTTTAGTGGTGCTGACAAAGAACGTATGCCACTGGCCCACCTCAGAAGTATTATCTTCTCAAAAATGAAAAAAACCCAAACCAACCCAAAATCTGTGTTCTTTTTTCAGTGTTCTCTTTTTCATTACGTATTTATACAGCATGTCAGAAAAGAAAATTTATTTTTCTCTGGACTAATTACTGTATGTTCATTACAGTAGGATACAGAATGTTGGTTTCACAAATTTCACGTTTCAAGAAGTTCCTAAAAAAAAGAATACAATAGTAATTTTTTTATTTTTTATAGCTAGAATTCAGTTATTTTGCTAGAGGTTGAAGTTCCAAATTGCAGAATTGTAAAACAGCTGTTAACAACTACGAAGTAAGCAGCTTAAATTACCTGTGTAAATGTGGGGCTCTGCAGCTGAGTGGCAAAGCTGTAGGTAAATGAGAAACTGTTACATGTGTTTTGGGGTCTATTAAAACATCAGCTTCTATAGATGTATGGCTGTTTTTCTCACATGTCTTCATTACATTCTTAACAGTATCTAAGTTATAGCACATTAGTGCCAACGACAAAGGGTATTTCCATTCTTCTGGGTAGGAGGAAACAGACCAACGCTGTGTAACCCATGTGTATTCAGAAGAACAATTTGTGTAGAACAAAGGGCCTCCATCTCTGTCTTTTTGTTCCTTTGCTTTGGTTGGTTCTCTGTATTTACCTTCCGCACAACCATGTTCATTCTTCTTATTCTCTATTCTCATTTGTTTCAATGACATTTCTGCAACAGAATTTTTACTTGATTTTTCATACTGATCTCCAGTTTGATAGTTGCTGTTCTTTTGAGAGGAGTGTAAGGATGCTGCAGATGACTGGCTGACTTTGCGTAAGAACTCCACTGTAAATTCTTGCTGCAATTCTGACAGGTAAAGGTGAGCATAACCATCTACTGACGAGATCTTCACACTGCCATTGTCTATACATCTTGTCAGATCAGCCACAGCAGGGTCAGGCCATCTAATTTCTAAGATATCACTGAAAAGAATCTAATACAAGAAAAAGGATTGTAATGTGCGGCAAGATAAAAATTACCTGCTTCCCAGAAATTAAATGAATTCAGTCCTTCTGCAAGGTGATGTATGGCAAGAAACTTTACTGTGTATTTATTTGCCTACATGAACTCAAGAGGGAGCAAAATATCTAACCTTCGTATCTGCTTCCTCCTGTTCTAACAGAGGTCTATCTAGCAATAATGTTTTAATTTAATATGCATTCATAAACTAGTAAGGTACATGGCCAACTGACCAGGCACAACTGCCCACAGACAGTAGATATTTCTGTTTCCAACTGCTTTTTAAGAAAGACAGAAGAGAAAGCCTAAATTATCTTGATCGTATCAGTTATCAGTAGACTTCATGGAAAGACCACATTAAAATTGTGTACGTTAAAACCCCATGTGCTCCGAAATCTTTTTATTTATAAAATTAAAATAAGTCTGTAAAGTGGCACGTAACATGTATTTATGTATTCTTACCAAAACAGGAATTTATTGAAAATGTTTTGCAGCTAGGTGGGTAATTTTACTTAATCCCGCAACACCACAGATTAAGTTACACAGCTATTGTGTAACATATTTCTGAAGAAGAATTTAAAATATAATAAAGATTTTAGACTTTTACAATACATTTGGAAAGTCTCAAAAGAATACCCTCATCTTACTGCCATGATATTCAAGTACAGATTGCTGCTTCAATTAGCACTTTGGTTCAAAACAAAAAACATTTTCACAGCATGTGCCCTTGTGCTACCCCTTCTACAAAAATGAAGCAGATGATTCTCAACAAATTACTCCAAACAAGCGCTGCACCTACCTCAAACCCCAGATTAAAGCTTTGCTCAAACAGAAGATATATAGTTTAGAAAATGCACTTACCACCTTCTGAAACTAGAAACATTCTGTCAAGATAGAGAATGCCTTTCTGACCATCTGCAGAAGTTCTGCCCTAAACCGACGTATTTTCCTTTATATTGTCCTTATACCTGATCACCACACAGAAAATATCCTTAGTCTGCTTTCAATTGAAGACTCCAGGTAAAGCACTGGATCCCAAATAAACACAGAAATGCAAACCCTCTCAAATAAGGTGTGAAAAAAACTTAGCAAATGGGTATTCACACTCCTCATCACTTGTTTTATCTCCATTTAATCAGCTTTGTCTCATTTGACTGACCTTTAATCAGATATGTTTTAGCCTCCATCATACTTTGGTGAATGGAGTTCAATCCAGTTGGCGGCCGGTCACGAGCGGTGTTCCCCAGGGCTCAGTTTTGGGGCCGGTCTTGTTCAGTATCTTTATCAATGATCTGGATGAGGGGATCGAGTGCACCCTCAGTAAGTTTGCAGACAACACCAAGTTGGGCGGGAGTGTTGATCTGCTCGAGGGTAGGAAGGCTCTGCAGAGGGACCTGGACAGGCTGGATCGATGGGCCCAGGCCAACTGTATGAGGTTCAACAAGGCCAAGTGCCGGTCCTGCACTTTGGCCACAACAACCCCATGCAGCGCTACAGGCTTGGGGAAGAGGGGCTGGAAAGCTGCCCAGCAGAGAAGGACCTGGGGGTGCTGGTTGACAGCCAGCTGAACACGAGCCGGCAGTGTGCCCAGGCGGCCAAGAAGGCCAATGGCATCCTGGCCTGTATCAGAAACAGTGTGGCCAGCAGGAGTAGGGAAGCGATCGTGCCCCTGTACTCGGCCCTGGTGAGGCCGCACCTCGAATACTGTGTTCAGGTTTGGGCCCCTCACTACAAGAAGGACATTGAGGTG